TGTCTTCCAGGCGGTCTCCTTTGAGCTTCACAATGATGTGTTCGCATTAGTGGTTTGTGTTGCCTTGCTTCGTGGTTGGTTGTGTTGCCCTGCATTTGGTTTCCATCGTATGGCTTTGTTTGTAGTGTTTATGTGGTGCCTCTTGGTAGGTTAAGGCGTGCGGTGGGTGCTGTAAGTGTGTGTGTGTGTCTGGGATTACAGACTGAGGTGGTGTAATATTTGTAATGCGCGCTACTTGTGACTAGATCCATTCAAGTCTTTGCGTTATGCACGTGGAGGATCTGCCACTCACTAGTAACGGGCGGTGTACATGGATCGCGTGCGCGCGTGTCCGTACCTTCTCCCATTTGCCTGCGTGCGTGCGCATTGGGTGATGACGACGAATTAGCCTCGAACGCGACGTGACCGCCGACGTGCAGTTTGTTCAGACCCGCGGCCGCCAACGGAGCGAGTCTGCTTACCAGAAAGACGGCTCGGCGTGAGCCGAGGCAGATCCGATTCGGTATCGAGCCCAGCTAGCCCGATGCGATTCGATGCCGATGTTCAGACGATCCGATGCCGACCTCCGCCGATGCTTGCACGGCACTGCTGTGCATCCCGGCGCGTCCGCGCGATCCGATTCGATTTTGACTCCGTGCCGATGGGGTCCGATCCGCCGCACATTCTGATCACATCCGAGCTTTCAATGCGGCGTTGGCTAATCTTGTGTGTAAGGGTCTAGCGGCTTAACTAAACAACCAATTAAGCATAACAATACCAGCACAGACAATCAACCATAATAAGTCGACGTTAAGGAATCACACACCACACTACACATCATATTAATAATAAAACCATAGAAATGTAATAAGACAACAAAGCACATAAGGGTCTGACCGCTCATGTTGGCGAGCGAGGTGTGAGGTGCCGCAGTCGGGATGTTCGCGGCTCGGTCGGCTCGCCTGCGTCGCAGACGGATGCCGTCGGTCGGTCCAGTCGGCCCGGTTGCTGCGGCGCTGGGTCTTTCCAGGCTGCTGTCAGTTTCGGTCGGTTTGGGCTTCGATAGCGTTCGGCCTGCTTTCTCGATGTTGGTGTCGCCGTGGACGTCCTACGGTATAGGGGGGGGGGCACATGCGAACCGTACCTTTCCCCCCCCCACGATGTCTGAGGGGGGGAGGGTGGGGTTCACTTCGTTCGGGAGCTCCCGAGCGATGTGAACCCCACCCTCCCCCTCAGAAATCGTGTGGGGGAAAGGCGGGGTTCGCGTGTGGCCCCCCCAACGGTACACCTTAGGCGATGCTTAAGAAAACCTAAGTTTTCGGCCAGAGTCTTGATTATTCTTAACTTGTCAATGTAAATCCCAAGATTTTGATAGAAGTTCTGGGTTTTTTATTCCAGTTCTGAGACTCTGAATTTCTTAACCCATGGTTTCTTAAGCATTTCGCAGGGTGTAGAGCACCAGAGTTTTTGGCTCTGCAGGGCCCCCCTTGATGGCTCTCGCGGCAGCACTGCGGCCGGGCACCTTCCCCCCCCCCCCCGAGCGCAGCGCTCGGCGGGGGGGTGCGAGCGGCATCGACGGGGACGGGGGCGGGGACCCTGACCTTCCAGAGAGCTATTTTTTAGCACTGGAGACCTAAAAACCTAAAAAACGAGACGAAACAGCCTAAAACCAAGACGTATAATAGCTCTGGGATAGGTTTTTAAGTCGCGTGCTATTTTTTAGCCCTCCTGGAAGGTCAGGGGAAACAGCTCCGAAAGGGGAAGCGATGCCGGTGCCGAGGCCGAGGCCCCCCTTCTCTCGCCTCCTGGTGGGCCTCCTGTGCGTCCTCGCCGCGGACTTCGCTTCGGAGTCTCGGCCAGAACGCCCCGGGAGAGGTCCACGGCATGCGTAGCGGCATCCCCGAACTTTCGCTTCTCTTTTGCAAGTGGTACAGGGGGGTTGGACGGTGAGGAGGAGAGAGGTGGGGAGGATGAGTCGATGTGCGGAGGGAGTGCAGAACGGTGAGGGCGGTGTAAAGATGGGAGGGGAGGGGAGGGGCTTGTGTTGCCTTCCCTGGTCCGTCCTGCCGCGTTCCCTCCTGCCGACGTGGCTTGCACCACTGCCAGGGCACCGGGGTCACCAGTTGGGGCCAGCGTCTTGCTGCAGCCCAAGGGGTGCAGACAGAGCCTAGAGCCTAGAGAACAGGAGGATATGTGTTCAGAGTGCAATCGACGAGGAGGAGGGAAGAAGATCAGGCGATCGCAAACACGGATCAAGGGGGCATGGATTAGTGACGGGTCCCGTATCCGTGGGCAATCGCGGGTTTCCGCCGCCGAGCCAGGCGGTACGGGCCGCACTCGGGGGAGGGCACCTCCCGCGCTCCATGGAGTGGGCGGCCGCGCGCCACATCCAGGGATCGCCAACCCACGCTGGCGCGCCCCCGAGAAGAGGCATGGGGGCAGGCGAGGGCTCGTCTAGGGTCATGTTCAGGGTCGGGTCCAGGGATGGGGGTCGGGCTTCCGGTTTAGGGTTTGAGGTGGAAGTTTATGGTTGGGCCGAGGGGAGTGATGGGCCTGTTTTCCACCACCACCACCACCATAAGCTGGAGGGGGGAAGGAGGTGGAGGACGAGGAGGAGGAGGGTGAAGAGGAGGATGAGGAGGAGGAGGAGGAGGAGGAGGACCCCCTCCCCTCCAACTTATGGTGGTGGTGGTGGTGGTGGAAAACAGGCCCATCAGGGAGGGGCCCCGCACCGGGAGGGAGGGCCATGGGCCGAGGGGCACGGGCGCGCGGGGGGAAAGGGCCAGGAGGGGCGCAGGGAGAGGCCCGCCGCGAAGCGTGCGTGGGGCCGGCCGCGCCGCCCGGAGGCGCGCGCCCGAGAGTCACCGAGCGCGTTCCATCCTCCTCCTCCTCCTCCTCTCTCCTCCTCCTCCTCCTCCTCCTCCTCCTCCTCCCTCCTCCCTCCTCCCTCCTCCTCCTCCCTCCTCCTCCCCTCCTCCTCCTCTCCTCTCCTCCTCCTCCTCCTCCTCCTCCTCCTCCTCCTCTCCTCCTCCCTTTCCTCCTCCTCCTCCTCCCCTCCTCCCCCTCCTTTCCTCTCCTCCCTCCTCCTCCTCCTCCTCCTCCTCCTCCTCCTCCTCCTCCTCCTCCTTCTACTCGCAAGGTGCCTACTCGCGAGCGTCCGAAGAGCACCTGTCTGCTCTGGTGTGATCTGTCGCAGATGTCCCCCGCGGCGGGGCCAGGCCCCGTTTGCCAGCAGCTTCTCTGCGAGCAGCGGAGCGCGCGCTCGTCTAGAGAGGGGCGGCATGACCAGGGGGCGTGGCGATCCGGGCCGAGCGAGAGGGGGGGACAGGGAACCCTGACCTTCCAGAGAGCTATTTTTTAGCACTGGAGACCTAAAAACCTAAAAAACGAGACGAAACAGCCTAAAACCAAGACGTAGAATAGCTCTGGGATAGGTTTTTAAGTCGCGTGCTATTTTTTAGCCCTCCTGGAAGGTCAGGGGAAAGGGGGGGGGGTGACACGAACTCTGCTGCATGCAGCCGGGTGCGGCCCCGCCGCCGGGCCCACTCCTCTCGATGCATGGGCGCCTCCCGAGACGCCGGGAGGCGCTGGGCAACGCAGCTTTCTGCGTGAGCTGAGCCTCTGCCCTACCCCTTGCTATCCCCCCCCCCCCTCGCTGTCGATCCCCCCGAGGGATGTGCCGGCCAGGGCCGCGATCGCTCGAGTCGCTCCTCGCGGCACCCCTCTGCGCCTCTCCGCGCGTCCCCCCCAAAGCTCGTCCCCGCGCTCTGGCCTCGGGCCCTCGTGCGCCCCCGCCCCGCCCCCCCCTCCTTCCCGGCTCCCCTCCTCCTCCTCCTCCTCCTCCTACTCCTCCTCCTCCTCCTCCTCCTCCTCCTCCTCCTCCTCCTCCTCCTCCTCCTCCTCTTCGGCGCGCGCGATTCAGCCGGGCGTCGTGCCTCGGGCTGGCGCCTGCAGCGGGGAAGGTGCGGCTTCGACGGGGAGGCAGCGGGGGGGTTGGCTGGGCACACCGCCGAGGCGTCGGGGATGGGGTCCGCTCTGGATCCGAGCTGGGCTCGCTCTTCGTCGGGCCCCTGCCGCGGTCTTGCCCTGGCGACCCCCTGCGCAACTGCTGCCCGCATGGGGAGGCGGCGCGGCTTGTTTAAGCTCCTCCGAGGCAGAGCTTTGGCGGCAGCCGTCCTGGCTCCAGCCTGCGCCAGCCCCGGGGCAGGCGGCCCGGCCGCCCGACGACATACGCTTCTTCCACACTCCCCAGCCCCACGTGGGGGTCCCGGCTCTCCTCCCTGGGGCCAGCTGCCCGCCCCGGTTCCGCGCCTGCTGCCTGGGCCTCCCAGGTGGGTCGTCGCAGATGGTGCCGGGGGATCGCGCCGCATCGCCGAGGCATCGGCTCGATGCGGAGCCAGAGCTTCTCCACGCCGACGTCGCCAGTGCGTCGCCGACGTTGCCAGTGCGTCGCCGCTGCGGCGCGATCCTCCGACCCCATGTGCACGGACCCCATCTCGGAGGCCTCGATGAGGGCCCCCGGGGCCCGAAAACTCGGGCCCCGGGGAGGCCGAGATCCCAGGGTTGAGCAGAGGTCGACGACCACCTCCCGCGGAGCTGCCTCGGCGGCAGCGGCCCCTCCGTCCGAGGCGCGTCGCGAGTTGCGCTCCTCCTCTCCCTCTCCTCTTCCTCCTCCTCCTCCACCCACCACCACTCCTCCTCTCCTCCCCTCCTCCTCCTCTCCTCCCTCCTCCTCCTCCTCCTTCTCTCTCCTCCTCCTCCTCCTCCTCCTCCTCCTCCTCCTCTCCTCCCTCCTCCTCTCCCTCCTCCTCCTCCTCCTCCTCCTTCTCCTCCTCCTCCTCCTCCTCCTCTCCTCCTCCTTCTCCTCCTCCTCCTTCTCCTCCTCCTCCCCGTCCTCCTCCTCCTTCTAGCTCCTCCTCCTTCTAGCTCCTCCTCCTCCTCCTCCTCCTCCTCCTCCTCCTCCTCCTCCTCCTCATAGCTCCTCCTCCTAGGTGACGTTCGCTCCTAGCTCCTCCTCCTAGCTCCTCCTCTCTCCTCCTCTCGCCTTGTCCCCTCGGGCGGCGCCTCGAGGGCCGCCCCCGCTCCCCACCCCGGCTGGGGGGCGGGGAGGGGCGGATGCGGGCCTGCCTCGCCGTGGCGTGCGCCCTTGTTCGCGCCTGGCACGCCGCGGCCGCGGTGACCAGGATCGGCGGGGCGCGAAGGGTCCATCGCCAGGAGATGTTTCAGTCGGGCCTGTCCCTCTACAGGAGGAGCGCTTAGAAATAGCCAGAAAATAGTCAGGAGACCATTTTTGGATCATTCCTGTATGTGTTTGGGATCGTTTGGGGTATTTCTTTTTTTCCTCAAAATCTCCCTGTAGGGGGACATGCCCGACCTAAGAATATGTCCACATCCACCGCTTCGGATCTCGAGGAGCGCTGGGTATGGATACCTGCCAGCCCGCGCTGGCGGGCAGATGTCCATATCCGCCGCTCCCCGGGTCCTCGGAGCACGACCCAGGAGCAGCGGATCTGCTCATAGTCTGGCGGCGCAGACGGGAGCGAAGTGAAGGGCCTTCTCATACTCAAAGAAGACAAGCGGCACAAGCATAATCTTTTGGCGCTCCGCGCGGATCTCTTGGATCTGCGCTGGGGCCCCCTGGCGGCGCCCTCGGCGCCGCCCCTGGCGCGCGGAGCGCGCCAGGGAGGGGGGCCAGCGCGGATTTGAGAAATCCACACGGAGCGCCAACAGTGTATGTTTATAGGTGCGATACCTCTGCAGCACAGGCCCCCTATCCGAAATGTTTTAGGTCCTCCTACCGGAGGCTCCTTCCCAAAAGGTTTCGGGGCCCTTGTGATGTTGATCATCAGAAGTCCCCGCGGCTTCTGAGATGTGTTCAGTGCCTTTGCATCGGGGGTGGACAGACCTCCTACCCTGACACGTCGATTAAGGAATTGGCCGTTTTCGTTTCGCGAGAGGGCGTCGCGGCCGTCATTTTTGCGGGTCCAGGTCCGTCGGTTTCGGTCCCAGGCCGTCTTCGCTAAGGGGAGGTCTACTAAAGGGAGGTTTGTCCACCGCCGATTGGAAGCAGTCAAACAGCCTCGCAGGAGGCCCGAAGCATTCCGAGCCTTCTCAGAACGCCCGCTCATGTTCGCTTCCCCCCCGGGCGCGCCGCCGACAGGAGGCCCCACATCGTGTTCGTGCTCGTGGACGACTGGGGCTGGAACAACGCCGGGTACCACCGGCCGGGCGATCCCGAGGTGGCCACCCTTCGAGAGAAGAAGCGCTAAAACGGGGCTAGGATCGGGATAAATCGCTCCAGAGCGTTCCGGAGCGCTCTCAGAGCGTTCAGAGCGTTCCGGAACGCTCTGGAGCGGCCGCGGCGCCCAATACATCTTCCAAACCCGCCGATTCTCAGAGATTTCGAGTTATCCCGATCCGATTTTGTCCCGATCTTCGCGTCGCTTTGAGCGCGATGACCATGACCAAGATGTCGTGGGGTCTTGTCGACGCCGATCTTGGTCATGGCCCATGCGTGCCGTCGCCGCTCAGCGAGGATCATCCCCGAATTCACGATGACCAAGGTGGACGATAAAAAAGATCTGCATGGACGATTCCATGTTCAGTCTTGGTCATGGTCATCTTTTTCGTCCCCTGCAACCCCGAACCCAGACCTCCTCGCGGTGCGGAAAAACATCGACGGACGGATTGGGCTCCTCTTCGTCCTCCAGGGGCCCTTGCTGGGCTATGGCACCGCGAACAAAAGGATTCGGGATTGGCAATCAGAACGTGTCCCTGGGAAAGGTCCAGGCTTCTGGGGGTCCAAGTTGTGACAACGCCACGATGTCGGAGGTCTGGGAACGCTGGATACCACAAGCCTGGCGATCCCGAGGTGGTCACTCCGAACGTTGACCGCCTGGTGCGGGAGGGCATCGAGTTGGACCGTCACTACGTCTACCACTACTGCTCGCCATCGCGCTCCTCCCTGCAGTCTGGCCGGCTCCCCGTCCACGTCAGCTACACGAATGACCAACAGGAGGCCCTCAACCCCGACGACCCGGTCTCCGGCTACGCCGGCATCCCTCGGAACATGACCGGCCTCGCGGAGAAGCTGCGGCAGGGCGGGTACCGCACCCACGCCACCGGGAAGTGGGACGCCGGCATGGCGACGTGGGAGCACACGCCGCTGGGCCGCGGGTACGAGACGTGGTTCGGCTACTTCCACCATGGACCACCCTGGAGCACATCCCTGCCCCCACGATTCGCACCTCCTGTCGGTGTCGATCTTGAGGATCCCCCCTCCGGCACATCCACAAGATTGTCATCGCCGTTGGCCTTGTCAGTCTCGGGGCAAGGGATGGGCTTCGGGCTGGTTGGCCATGCCAATGATTATTGGACGCAGAGGGTAGCTTCTGGCGGCCCCACCGGCTGTGGACCCCTCGTTGACCTGTGGAACAGTACTGGTCCAGCTCGGGAACGCAACGGCACGGCATACGAAGAGGAGATGTTCACGGATCACACGTTGGCAACTTTGCAGCGTCACGATCCTTCCGAGCCGCTTTTCTTATTCCACGCGTTCCACCAGATCCACACGCCGCTGCAGGTGCCGGAGGTCTGGGAGAGGAACTTCAGCTTCCTGGACAACCGCGACAGGAGAAAGTACGCGGCCATGGTCCACTACATGGACACGGCCCTCGGGAAAATCGTAGCGAAAATCAAGGAGAAGGGCATGTGGGAGAACACTTTGATGGTCGTGTCCAGCGACAACGGCGGCCCCGTGTATTACATTCCCAAGATCGGTGTCGGGGGCGCCAGCAACCTGCCGCTGCGCGGGGGGAAGCTGTCCGACTGGGAGGGGGGGGTGCGCGCCAACGCCTTTGTGGCCGGCGGGGCCGTGCCGCGCGCAAGGCGGGGAACGGTGCTCTCGGACTACATCCACGTGAGCGACTGGTACGCCACCTTCTTGGGGGAGACCAGAAGATGCAGCTACCACTACTCCCTGGACCTCTCCCAGGGTGCGTTCCGACCAGAATTTTGAGGCGAGTCCAGCGGTGGTGACGAGGGTCGCCGAGGAGGCCCGAAAAGGGGAAATCGGGGGGAGGTAGCGGTATGGGTATTTTTCCCTCCTCTGAGGTACGCCACCTTCTGCGCCATCGCGGGCGTGGACTCGACGGACCACCGGGCCGCACTGGCTGGGCTGCCGCCGGTGGACGGCCTGGACCACTCGGCGCTGCTGCTGGGCGAGGCTGCAGCTGGCACCCGCACGGAGATCCACCACTCCGTGAGGGCGCTCACGCGGGGCAGGTGGAAGCTGATCACGGGCGGGCTCATTCCGGGGAAACTCAAGACTCGAGTAAGCCGGAACTCGGGTTTGCCGACGTTCTTTGACGAGTGCGTCTTGGATTTTCGCGGCCCTAAGGCCAACCCGAGTCCACGGTACCCGAGTCTTGCGTCTCCCCGATCACCCAGAGGGAGGGAGGGCAGCAGAAGCAGCAGCTCCCGGAGGTCCTCGCGGATTTCCTCCTCTTCTTCTCCTCTTCTCCTCCTCCTCCTCCTCCTCCTGCTCCTCCTCCTCCTCCTCCTCCTCCTCCTCCTCCTCCTCCTCCTCCTCCCTCCTCCTCCTCTCCTCCTCCTCCTCCTCCTCCTCCTCCTCCTCCTCCTCCTCCTCCCCCCCCTCCCCTCCTCTTCCCCTCCCCTCCTCCTCCATCCTCCTCCTCCTCCTCCTCCTCCTCCTCCTCTCCTCCTCCTCCTCCTCCTCCTCCTCCTCTCCTCCTCCCCCTCCTCCCCTCTTCCTTATCCTCCTCCTCCTCTCCTCCTCCTCCCCTCCTCCTCCTCCTCCTCCCTCCTCCTCCTCCTCCTCCTCCTCCTCCTCCTCCTCCTCCTCCTCCTCCTTTTCCTCCTCCTCCTCCTCCTCCTCCTCCTCCTCCTCCTCCTCCTCCTCCTCCTCCTCCTCCATCTTTGGGGGGTCGGCGGTTGGCCCTCGGCGCGCCCGGGGGGCTTGAGGCGCGGCCAGGAGGGTCTGGCGCCGGTCCACAAGAGCTTCGTTCGGGTATACAGTGCCGTTTTTCATACATGCTTCGCGTGCGGATCATGTATTATAAATGCAGGATTTAGCATTAAACACAACGATGAGCTCATGCATACATTTACTCGTAAATTAATCATGCATTAAACATTCAATCGGTTTAAACATCCTATGTATCAAAACCTGCCCTGTAGCCAGGACCCCCCGTTCAGGGCCCAGCGCGGCTCCAAGAAATCTGCACGGAGCGACAACAGTTTAGGTTACACGGCGTTTTTTTGCTCGTCTTCTATACTGCAGATGTGAGGCCGGCGCCTTCCAAGAGGCCTCTTTCTCCCCCTCCTCCTTGTCCTCCCCCTCCTCCTCCTCCCCCTCCTCCCCCTCCTTCTTATCCTCCTCCTCTCCTCCTCCTCCTCCTCCTCCTCCTCCTCCTCCTCCTCCTCCTCCTCCTCCTCCTCCCCCTCCTCCTCCAGAGAACCAGCCTCCTCCTATAAGAAGCCTTCTTCCCTCCACCCATACCCCCCTGGTGCGCGCCGCCCACGGAGTCCTCCAGAGTTCCGCTGCTCGCTTCATGGACCTTCCGAAGGCCCACCCCATGGTTACCAGCCTCGAACTTCGGGGGCGGAAAAGAGGGGGGTGATGACTAGGGGGGGTGGATATCATGGCGGGGGCCATGATATTTCCCCAGATTTCATGGCGCCTCTTCTTATTTCATTACGTTCCTGGCCCCCCCGCTGGGCCGCGCACATGCCGCCGGTCATGATTTGCACCCCCCCCTCTTGGACACCCCCCTCTTGGCCGCTCCCGAACTTATCCCTATCCCTACGATTGACACGCCAAAAGGCGATGGCAATCTTAGGGATTCGCCCTCAAAAAGAAAGGGAATCCCTAAGATTGGCATCGTGATGAGGAGATGCCCAGCATAGGGATTGGGATCTGTTCCAGGCTGGTAACATCGATCGTGAGGTTCTATCGGGTATGGCCAGGACCCCGGTGAAAGGGAGCCGGCCAGTGATGGGTCCCCGAAGCCCAGAAACATGGACTGGAATCACTAAGCCAGGTCTGCCGCAGTTGATGCCTTTCGGGTCACGGCATTGCCGGTTAGTGGAAGAGGACGGGGGGGGCGCCCCCCGGGCACACATCATCAAACCAGGTCCCACTAAACCCAGTCCCGCCAACGCCCGATCCACGCGGTCCTCCGAGAGTGCATTCGGGGGCGGACAGACCTCCTACCCTGGCACGTCGATTAGAATATTGGCCGTTTTCGGTTCGCGAGAGGGCGCCGCGGCCGTCATTTTTGCGGGTCTAGGTCCGGTTTCGGTCCCAGGCCGTTTTCATTAAAGGGTTTTTTTTACAAAAAAACAAATGAGGGAGGTTAGTCCACCGCCGGTTCATGTTCGTGCTGTTGTTCTTTCCTCTGCTCATGGATTTGAATTTGCAACACCCGTGGGGTACGCGCATGGTGCCGTACCCGCTCTGGGCCAACGGCTGGGGGGTCGATGCGGTGGAGAACTCACTGGCCTTCCACGACTGCCATGGCGGCTGCCTCTTCGACATACTGGCCGATCCCAACGAGAGGAAGGACGTCCGCAAGGAGAACTCCGACGTCCTCCGCGACATGATGGCGCGACTCGAGGAGCTCAACAGGGGA